AAATTAAAAAAAAATAAAATTAAAAAAAAAATAAAAAATAAAAATAATATTAATAATTAATAATAATTATTAATAATAATAATAATAATAATAATATTAATAATAATAATAATAATAAATAAAATAATAATTATAATATAATTAATACATTCAAAAAAATATTTTTAAATATTTTAACCATTTTATTATTAATATTTAATAAGTATATTTGGTAATGTGATTACGTAATACCACAAAAAAAAAATGATAATACATCGTAATTAAAAAGCGGGAAATAGATATAATATTTTACCCAACAGTTTGGGGAAATTAAAAAATGTCACCAACATCCTTTTTTTTTGTGTTACGTAAATAAACATGTATATGATAATAGGATTACGTAAAAAGTTATTATATCTTTTTTTAACGAAAATGAAAGAATGATTATTATATGATATATATATGTATATATTATATATATAAAATAGAAAAATCAAATAAAAATTTTCTGTATAAAATTATTTTGGTGTAATTTTTTAACGAAATATGGTAAATAATCCGAAATAAATTTATCTTTTAATAATATTATTTTTTAAGATCAATTAAAAAAAAAAAATGGAAAAATATAGAAACATTTTAATAAAAAAAGTTTTTTTTTTTTTTGTCGCGAAACATTACATAAATTTATTATATCGTCATATTAAATAATATTTGTACATTACATCACATACATCATTATTGATTAATTTATCCCCATTCAAAAAAAACCTTTCAAACTTTCAAACATAAAGTTATGCATTCTGCCGTTATACTTTTTAATCTTAAAATATTTATAAGCGATAATATAATCAATCACATGGTAAATTAATTAATTTTAATTTTACAAAGCAATTTATTCCCGTCTTTTTCTAAGTTCTAACAGGAAATCTCGGAAATTCACCTTACTTAGTTACTATACATTACACCATATGCAAGGTATACACAGTACACGTTGTTTTAGATTCGTTTCATAATGTATGAAATTGTGAAATTTGTGGAATTAACCGAAACTTAGCCGAAACGATTTTCAATCACAAGTAAAAGCATGGCATATACAATCATACCATAATTCATCATCAGGTTAGTAAAGATCATCAACGAGGTAAAAAATTTTCTTTTTTTAAAAAATATTAATGATAAAAGAAAAGGAAATCTCGATGATATCTTTAATTGTACGAAATTAGTTTTTTTAATATAAAGAAGATCAACAGCGCACATTATACGTACTTTACTGTACGTTACATTACGCAAACAACACAACATCACGTAAACTAACGCACGGCCTAAATGAGGGACAAAAAATGAATATTTATTGTAAAAAGAGAAATTAATACCAAAAAGTTCATTCCGGTTTTTCGAAGTTTACCCATACATAATAGTACATAAAAATTTCATCACGTACATAAACGAAAATGATGTAAAATGATCGCATTTTAGGATAAAGAGAATTTCACAAGTTTTAATATTACTTGTATCATTCTGATAATATTTAGTAATCGTATTACGTACACGTTTTTAATTGTTGAAACTTTTTTCATCGAATTAACTTGTAAATTCTATAAATAGGTAGTATAAAAATGATATGTTACACCATGTTAATAAATGATATATATCCAAAAGAAGACGTGGTGTCACATACCATGAAAATCATTTACCATATTGGAAATTAAAATAAAAAGATGTACTAAAAAAATTATAGCATTTATAATACATAAAATACATTTTATACGTAATCAATCACACGATATACGATAATTTGCAATATTACATATTTACATATTTTTAGGGAGTCAAATATCCAAATATCCAAATATCCAAATATCCAAATATTCAAATATGAATAACCTAAACGAAAAAATTCTTTTTTAAAAACTATTTAACAAAAGAAAGTTTTTTTTTCCATCCAAAAAGAAAAAACTTGATATTATTATTTTATTTTATTTTTTTCGATAAACCAAATTTAGGATCCGAGAAAAAAAAAAAAAAAAAAAAAAATTTTTTTTTTTTT